GTGAGTGACCCGCTCGTAGGCCTTCGAGAGGTCCGTCATGGTCGACATGGAGTGCTGCTCCATCGCCGCCGCCACGCTGGCATCGTGGGCCTGGAGCCAGACCGCGTCCTCGCAGGACTTCCCCGCCCCTCCGAAGAAGTAGCCCCGCCTGTGCGCCGACTCCCACTCGACCGCGTCGATCCTGCGCAGCTTCCCCAGCAGCCGCATGAGGCTGCAGAGGAGCCCAATCGGCCTCCAGCCTCCGTCGGGCTTCGCCAGGAAGAACACCAGCAGGGTGTTCACCTGCTCGGGCATTCGGCAAGATGCCTCCAGCACGAGCAGCAGCAGCCCGAGCGCTTCCAATCCTCCATCGCTGAGGTGGCCGAAAGCTTGGGGCTTGATGGCGTCCACCCCTAGGGCCGTGGACGGCTTGAAGGACCGCGCCGCCTTGCGGATCTCCTCCGCCGTAACCGCCTGCCCCAGCCCCTCCAGGTGAGCCTCTGGCAGCGCCTCGTCAAGGTCCATCGGCTGGATCTCGCCGTGCTGCCAGATGTCCTGGTACTCCTCCAGCAGGCTGTCGAGGGTGGCCGCTATTCCTGCAGGCCCGTTGTCGCCGTCCTGGTCGGCTGTCCAGCCCTGCGGCGCTCGGCAGAAGGCGCGGGCGGCCCCTCCGCCGTCTCGCGCAGCCTCCCTGGCCCAGGCGCGCCAGCGCTGGTCTCGGCCTTTCGCACAGCCAGCCTCGAGCCGACCTGCGATTTCCCTGGCCTCGGCCTCGAGCTCCTCGACCTCCGCGAAAGTGAGCTCCCACATCCTCCGAAGCCGCCTCCTCCACTTGGCAGCCTCAGGCGGGCTGAGGGCATCGCCTCTCGCGTACTCCGACGAGGCCAGCTTGCTGCCCATCTTGGCGTGGATGGCCTTGAGCTGTTGGCAGGCCGCGACCCTGGCGCTCGGCAGGTGCAGCCGCTTCCTCGTGATCAGCTCCTCCCAGAGCACCGCGCCGACCCTGCGCCAGTGGGCCGCCTCGGGGGACCCGCGCGCGCGGGGGCCACTGCTGGGCAGGAGCACCTCCTGCTTGACAAACCGTGGCTTGGCCTCTCGGCCCGTGTATCTGTCCGCCTCCTGGGTCCCGATGTGGTAGCACCCCAGTAGGTCGGACTCCATCAACTTGGCGAACTCCCCGTAGAGGCCGTTCACCGACTCTTGCGGCAAGCTGCCCCCCACAACATCCTCGGGGAACGTCGGGTACCCAGCCTCCTCCTCGTGGCTGGTTCCTCCCCTCGGCGAACCTTCCAGCCCATGGACTGCAGGACTGGGGCCGCGAGGCCCTCGCGTCAGAGAGGCCGCGTCACCCCTCTCTTCCACCGTGGGAGAGCTCGCCGCAGGCTGCTCGATGCCCCCTCTTGGGTCGCTTGGAGTCTCCCCCTCGCCCACCCCTTCGGTCGCACGGGGGGTGGGAGGGGCTGGGCCGAGAAGCAGGCTGAAGGTGTCGGCCCACTCTGCGCCCGCATCCTGGCGGCAGCGGCCCAGCACGCCGTCGTCGACCGCCGTCGCGAAGACCTCGGCGCCCAGGACAGGTCCCTCTTCCTGCTGGGCGGCTGGCGCCCGATCCTCTCGGCCCGCCGCTGCGCTTTCCTCCGGGCCTGGGCCCGCCGCTGCCAGCGCCGGCGTCGCCTCGGGCTGAGGCCAGCCCAGCTGCTCGAGCACCCTACGCAGGCGTGCGACCAGCGGGCCCCAGTCGGGGGGCTTGGGCCGCGGCCCCACTGGCCGCTCGGCTGGGAACGCGCGCGGCCCTTTGAGGACAGGCCGCCGCTCGGGTGCACCTCGCCGCCCCAGGGCGGACGGGCCAGTGGGGCGCGAGAGTCTCGTCGAGCCGCCTGCATCCCCTGACCAGCTCCCCCAGCTCGCTGGAGACGACGAACCAGTCCAGCTCGTTGCCGCCCCCGCTGCGGCAAGTGGCGACACCAGGCGTGACCGTCATCCCGCCGACCGCCTGCGGCCAGCCCCACTCCTGGAGCTCGCGCGGCTTGCAGTTCCAGTCGCCGCCAATCACGAACGGCACGGCCGCGCTGGCCAGGTAGCGCCCCAGCTGGCCGAGGACGAGCTTCGACTCGCCGTCGAGGCCCCTGCCCGTCACCAGGTAGACCGAGACCGCCAGGAATCCTCCTCTGACGGCGCAGTTGACCCAGCGGGCGATTACCCGATCCTTCGGGAGGGCGGGCCCCACGGGCGGGTCGCCCATCCCGATGTGGGCGCGGACGCCGATCCCGACGCCGCTGGACAGGCCGCCCTTGTCGGTGACCACCGACGCGTTGAAGGCCACCTTCCAGCCCTCCTTGCGGCAAGCCTGCTCGGCCTCCGCCTTGGCGCCTGGCGCCACTGCAACCTCTTGCAGGAAGACTACATCGGCGGTAGCCTCATGATGCAGCCATCTCATCATGCTGCTCCTGGAGGTGGTGTTGGCCGTGTCCAACCTCCAGGTGCCTCCTTCACGCCTCGCTCGCTGAAGCCTCCGCTGGGCCTC